GAGGAGGAGAGAGAGAAGAAGAAGGAGGAGGAGGAGGAAGAAGGAAGAAGAAGAAGGAAGGGGAGGGGGAGAAGAGGGGAGGGACGAGGATATGTTATCTATCAGTCTTTCATTTTTGAAAATAATGTATCTTTTTCTATGTGTGAGTGTGTTTTTTTTTCTAGTTTTACTCTAATGTATTTGTATTTGGATATCTTTTTGTTATGTTGGGATATATTGACTACTTAAACCGTATTGCTGATATTCATTGGTTCTGGAAAATTTTTAGCTTTTATTTTTTCAAATAGTGCCTCTCTTGCCCATTTTCTTGATCCTCTATTTTATTTTTTGGCACTCTGAATAACGTGTGTTAGATGTTCTTATGTTATCTTTCATGTCTTTTTTTTCTTCCTCCATCTCTACCATTCTTCCTATCTTTCTTATTCTTTTTCTTTCTCTCTTGGTTTTTTTCCTATCACTTTGTGTCTCTGCCTTGCATTTTTGGGGCTGGGACTGTAGCTCAGGACTTGCTTAGCACATGCAAGACCCTGAGATTAATATCCAGCACTGCAGTACACACACACACACACACACACACACACACTCACACTCACTCTTGCACCACACCTTTGAATATTTATTCCATTTCACTAATTTTGTTAAAATTTGAGTATTTTGTCATAAAATCCATTCAGTGAGTGCTTTTATTCAGTTATTTTAGTTTTCATTTCTTCAAGTTCTGTTTGAGTCTTCTTTGTTCAGGTGTGTTAAATGGTTTTTACATTTTCCTGTAAGAACATATCAGGAGGGTTTGGGGTTGTGGCTCAGCGGTAGCGCGCTTGCCTAGCATGCGTGAGGCACTGGGTTCGATTCTCAGCAACACATACAAATAAGTGAAAATAAAAGTCCATCAACAATGAAAAATAAATAAATAAATAAAAGAGCATATCAGGAATGTATTTTCAGATTTTTTTTACCTTAATTATTCTAAGCCTATTTCTCTAAAATTCCAACATTTGAGGATTTTGTGGGTCTGTTTCTACTGATCCTCATTCATGGTGTTTTATTTCCATGCTTACTTAGTTATTTTTTACTATGATCTTTCATTTTCTATGGAAAATTATTTGTGGAACTCCTTTGAGGCCTAGAATGAAAGTGGCAAATGTAAAAAAGATCTTTGTTTGCTTTTAAGGCATGTGAGACTACTACCAATTTGGGACCACTTTAAAACAAATGTTATATTTGAGAATTAAAAAAAAAATTATGCCAGACATGGTAGTGCATACCTGTAATCCCGGTGACTGGAGGCTGAGGCAGGACGATTGCAAGTTCAAAGATAGCCTCAGCAACTTAGTGCTTAGTGAGGTCCTAAGCAACTTAGCAACATCCTGTCTCAAAAACAAAACAAATGGTCTATGGATGTGATTCAGTAGTTAAATGTCCCTGGATTCAATCCCTATTACCAATAAATAAATAATTGAATGAATGGATGAAATAATTAAGTTGTCCTATTTTAATTTTTTAATTTTGTGGCAGAATATACATAATATAAAATTTATCATCCATTTTAAATGTCAGGTTCAAGAGTTTTTATGCCATTAAGTGGATGTGAATTTAGGCTACAGTTTACCAAACAGGTTTTTGCTTATTACTTATTAGGAACTCCTTGCCTCCCCTTCTTCTGTATAGTGCAACTTTCCTTGCAGCCTCTATAAATGGGATGGGAGAATGGTTCCCCATTCACTGAAGCCACAGCTCTTTGAGTTCCTAGCATTATGGAAGAAGGGTTGAACAGGAAACCTTTGTTAATGCCTAAATGCCCCACTTGTTGTCTTCTYTTTTCTGTACCTTTCAAGGTCTTAAATACTGCAATTTTAGGTTAACTGATTGAGAAATACCCTATGGGAAAATGCAACTTAAGGATCAAGTTTACCTCTCTGAATGTTTACTGATACTTGGAGTTTATGTAATTACTTCTTACCATTTTATTTACACTTTCATGCTTTTAAGAAGATAACTTTTAATTTTTTATTCAGCATTGATAATTGTAAACAAACTGGTTCTAATAATCTATATTCCACATTGCTGAAAAATTGAGCCTGCTGCTCGCTCTCTTAATCACTGCACTGCATTACAGGGCCTCATTTCCTTTTTCTCATTTCTCAGGGGAAAACAGTTACAAACATAACTTTCAGAAGTTTCATACCAACTGTGTGGTATCAACCATGGGAAGAAACTTTATAGAAGGAACTAGGATCTCGGGAATGGGGAAGCATGTGATTTGTTTCTAATTAGCAAAATTGTATATAAAATGTAAACATTATATAATAATGGTATTGTACTTCAGACATCACAGGGTTGAGAATTTCACATTCAAGTTTAATGGTATGAGTTAAAAAACAAGGGCCAGAGTTATAGCTCAGTGGTAGACCATTTGCTGTACCTTAGGTTTGATCCCCAACACTTTAGGATTAAAAAAAAAAAAAGAAATGTGGCAAAATGTTAAAGAATAGAGACAGAAAAGGATATTAGATATTCTTTAATTTTGAATATATGGGTAACCTTAATTTGAATTACCTGGATTATTTGGATTTCATATTAGATATTGATGGGATTACCTTTGATAATATAGTTTCAGTAGTTCAGAGTGAAAGTTTGTGTAGCATTAAAAAAAGGATTGTTGGCAATGGATCATAATTAACATTAGATATAAACAAGGTCCTGATTTTATTAGTTATAATTAGTTATGCACATAATATAATTTATAGTATTGTACTTCAGACATCACAGGGTTGAGAGTTTCACATTCAGGTTTATTTGGAAATAATATCTGGATTTAAGACTGAAAATCTTATGGGTTTTTTTGTATATATTTTGATATTGAGGTTCCCCRACGTCAAGATGATACACGGAATAATATTTCCTTGGAACTAATGCAACATAGCAAGACAGAAGTTTATCCTGTCTTATTAGGGAATGCTGAGGTACATCTTTATGAAGTAATTCAGGTATGTATAAAAATCTTTTTGTTTTCACCTTGATTCCACATTGTCCAGTTGGTACTTCTTGTTGTGATTCTTTATACCTAATAGACTCCTTTTGTTTTTTATCTAATAAGAATTAGTGACGCAAATATCTGAAAAACAATAGAATCACCAAAAAGCATGAGACTTAAAAGAAGAAACTTTTTTATACTCCTTTGTAATAATACAATTTGAAAGCAATTGAGGGTTATGTGAAGTATACCTCTTGACCTGGAGGGCTTTGGAGAAAAAGTACCTTCACTTGAGCAGTCTATAAGAAAAGCATTGTATCTTCCATAGTGAGCTGGATCTTAGGTAAAGCAGAAAGGTAGAAGATATGTTTAGTGAGGCAGTTAAATGTAGGTTTGTTAACCATGGAAGTAGCAGAAGATTCTGGGAGAAAAGGGAAACATGGTTTGGGTGGATGTGGAGAGAAGACTGAACCCTGTTCTGGGTCTTTCCATGATGTATAGACCAATAGTTCTCAGACTGTGCCTAATTTTGTTCTCCATTTTATAAAGCAGTAGTTTACTATAAGCTATTCCATTCTGAGGTTAAGTAGTTAGGTAGAATGATTCTACACCTTGTTTGTACAAGTAAAAAACCACCATCTACCTCATACAGTGTATGGTACAAATGGATAAATAAATTAACCATGCTAATACAAATGACCACCTGTGAACTTATCAAATTAACCAGAAGCACAGGGATGCATGAATATATCAAACTCATATGGAAAAACCAGGCCCCTGAGCTTAATGAACATACTAGACCAGTGAATGAAGCAATCCCTCACTTAAGACTCACAAAAGAAGGAACACCCTTAGACTGAACCCTGTAGCACCTGATCACATCACCTGGTCACTTGTGATGAGCCTTGCCCAGGAAAATCACCACCGTGATGTAGTTTATGAATTTATTTTGGAAAGACATAAATTTGTTTGGTCTGTTAATGACATGGCTCATTCATAATAGTGGTCTAATTCAGGACATTAGAGATAAGTACAGATGGTGACCAACATACCAAGATTTATCTGGTTTACAAGAGCACAGCAGTTCTAGGGGGAGAAGCAAGGTATTCAGTCCTGTCAAGAATCAGATCATCATGTAGATTTATGTATAAGGAACCCCCCCTCACAAAGAATACAGGCATAGCAGTTGCTCTAAGATTTGCAAAATGGGGAACTATTAACTAGCAAAAACATTTTTGTCTAAAATATAAATGCAAATATTGACATTTCTGTTACTTGTACTCAAAATTCTTCTTTTGAACATTCATTTTATTTGTATTTTAGCTATTAGCTTCATATGTGCATTTGAAAAATCATTACCTGATTCTTTCTTGCTATAATATGTTTTAGATAATATATGGGAAAACATAGATGAGTAATTCTACATTGAAGAATTTTATTTTATTTTTTTCTAGAAAGGGTGCTTTACTGAAGAATTACAGTTATTGAATAAAAATACAGTAAGAACTTTACTAAAACTTTCTAAGTTTTGTGTGCATGGAATATTCTCTTAGCAGTTTATAGAACTTTATTCTGATATTGTTTGTATTCTACATCTTTTTGTTTTTTTATTATCCTAACAGTTACTTGAATTAGTAAATTACATTTAACTAACAGTTACTTATGTGTAAAATTAGTAAAAATGTAATTAAATATAAAGTACAAATATTTGCTCACAAAATTCTCACACCTCCCCTGCCCCTTTTAAAAGCTGCTCTMTTATTGTTAAGTTGTGAAGGAGAAAATTAGAAATCCTCATGTGAGAGAATAGAATGGCTCTGACTGCTGCTTGGACCATGGAGCCTCAGGAACAACCCCCGCTGCACTGAGGGAGGATTATGTTTCTCCTTGGGGAGTTTCTGAACAGATATTCTCAGTGCTTTATTTGTAATTAAGTTCTTAAAATTAATTAACTTGATTATTTGCTCTTCTATTCCAAGAGACTTCTGTCTCAAGGCCAAAACAGGGGCAAGGAACACAGGGTTATCTCCTTTGACATCCTTCTTCATTTCACACATAAGCAACCTGGGATTCACAGGGGTGAGATCACTTACATAAATCAAAATTTTATCTGAAATTGGGAGTGGAGGTGTGAGGAATATGAGTAAATAATGTACATATATGTATATGAACATGTATTTATGCCAGTGTCTTTGCCTGTTAACAATTTTGAGTTGATATTTTCCATACTTTAATCATACAAAAATATTTAACTCTAACATGAAAGATTTTAACATTTCAGGAAATGAATAGGTTTTCTATAGGTACTCCTTGTGTAAATATTTATTTCTTAAAATCTGGAGATTCATACTTGGGCTTTTGTAACTTATACATTTGTGAAGTAAAACTATCACTTGCTATCACCTTTCTAGTGAAATACCATTCTGATCAAACAATAAAATACAGTTGCCATTTTTAGTTTATCTGCAGGTTGGAGGTGGAATTTATGTTCTCCTATGGAAATTTTGGTTATGGATTTTCACATCAGGTTAGTTCCCCTCTTTTAAAAACTTTGATTCTATTTTGGCTCTTCATTCAAATCATTTTCTTTTGAGCCTCTGTTTTTTTCCAGTTTGTTAAATTCTTCAAAATTAGTATTTTGCTGGGTATGGTGGTTCATGCCTATAATCCCAGCAGCTTGGGAGGACTGAGACAGGATGATCTCAGTTTTGCTGCCAGCCTCAGCAACTTAGAGAGAGGCTCTAAGCAACTTAGTGAGACCCTGTGTCTAAATAAAAAATAAAAAAAGTCCTGGGGAATATGGTTTAGTAAGTAAGTGTCTCTGGATTCAAACCCTGGTACCAAAATAAATGTTTTTGAAAGAATGCTGCTCTACTTTCTGCCCTTGAGGTGTATAGACTTTTCTTCTGCCTAAAAACAAGAGACTTTACCATTATTTCCTTATACATTTTTAAATGTATCTTTCATATCAGMAACTTTATTACAAAACTTGCTTTTGTGTTAAACCTACAACACGTTTATGAAATTAAAATTGAAAATGAACGTATTTTAAGTATTGAAGAAATGAGTGTGGATTTTTACACTTAAAAATATTAAAAATGGAGTTATTAAAATAATGTTATTTAGATAATGTTTTCTACTTTGATTTTTCCTCCATGGTTGTTTTCAATTGAAAAAACAACCATGATTGTTTCTGTTGTTGTTTGAACTTTTTCAATTCATCAAGAGAGTAATATACTGAGAGAAGATAGCTTCTTGCCTGTTCAAATTCACTACCATATAAAAATATTTGTGTACTAACCTGTATTCTTTTCTTTACATCCTTAGGCTAGATTCTTAGAAAGAAAATTATTGTTCAAAACAAGGGCCTTGTTAAGAATTTGTTCTAGAAAAGTTATACTAATATATACTCTTACCCACTGTTTAAAAGAACTCTTGATATCTTTGAGTATTATCACAGTTTTGGGACATTTAAAAATCCAGTCCCATTAGTGCTGCTATTAAATAGGGGAAATGATCCCTATATTTCAATATTTTTTAAAGTGTTTTAAAATTAGTAATTGAAAGTGGGAACATCAGCCTTATTGACTAAGCATATTGCAATGTTAACTGAGAAATYTATATATTTTAAAATTTTGCCTATGGTATATCACAATTATCTTTAATGTATTTTGAAGAAGTAAATAATATACAGACAGATGAAAGCTTCTAGGAACAGGTTTTCTTTTCTATTTTGTTTTTCTTTCTGTTTTCTTATGATAAGTTAGGCTATCTAGGAACCCTTAATTATCAGACCTTTTGATGATAGTCATAGTTTATGAGCATGAATTTCAGAAGTAGGTTTTGAGTCCAGATAAAAGCATATCATGTAAACACAGCAATGCTTAAGGAGATAGATACTTTTCATATAAAACTGAGCAGGTATTGTYTTATATATGTGGAATTTACTAAAACAAGGAACAAAGATATACATATAGAAAAGAATGGGTTGTATCATAAAAATTCAGCTGATTTTATGCCTATGAACTATTTAGTTAGCCTTATCTATCATGATACAGTAAAAATAATACCATACTCAAGGAGAGAAAAGGCTATGTTCACATCCTGGCTCTCATGCTTATTGTTTAATTTTAAACAAATTACTGATCTCTGGTATCATCTGTAAAATAGGCAGTTACTACCTACCTCATTGATTTATTAAATGGATTGAATAAGATTAAAGTTATGAAAAAGCTTGTAAATATTTAATACCCCCAAAAGTTTATTCCTTTCTTCATGCCTTTTCTTCTTATATTGTCACTTAAGTACTCTCTCATCGTCGTGAGGGATTAATAATAATAGGATAAGTTGTAACTAAATAGTGTTAAAATATAATTACATTTTTCTTCAGTTAAAACCTCTTCAAAAAATTGTTGAACCATCTATGTTTATGAATATTGCACCACCTCCAGAAAGAACAGATCCCCTAACGTAAGTGTTTTAAGTCTCGTTAATATGGTCAGATCATGTACAATTTTAGTAAAATTTGACAAAGCAATTTAGTTATCTTAAAAAGCCTTGAGGACATGACCAGGATGGGCTAGAATCCAAGGTAAAGAAAATACTGACTTGTTTTGTTTAATAAGGTGGGAAAATATTTGAATTTCTGGGTGTAGTCTTGGAGAAAGGAGATGAGAAGATGTGGAGTCAAGAAAGAGAGAGAAAGAGCCTCCTTCATGCCTGAAGGAGGAGCAGGAGAGGCTTAATGAGAAAGTTGTCCAGTGAGAGACTCCTTTCTGGGAATAGAGGTCAGGGACTTTTAAGATCAGGGTGTCAGGTAGTTGTCAGTTTTCTGTTCTGCAGTATAGTAATGTTACTTMCACCTCCACAACACTCCAATTGTTACTTCCAAATCAACAGTAAAAAGACAGGTAAAAACCATCAATAGCAAAATAAAAGTAATTTAAAATATAATATGCTGATCTATCTTGAAATTTCAACAATAAAAATAAATTAAAGAAAAATGAGCACCCAAGAAAGAGATTTAATCTTTAGTGTTAAAGAATAAGAAGTGGAAAAAAATCTGAAATGGTATTGAGGGAACTCCATATAGAATGCAAAATTGTTTTCTAAATGCCTATTTTCCCTAGTCACACCAATACTGGGTATTAAAATATATATCACCTRTTTGGTATTGTGATTTGTGAAAATAATAAAGTTGTTGTATTGTTTCCTTTATATATTGACATTTTCCCCTCTGTTTATTGATTAAGTAAGAATTTACTGAATGTCTGCTATATCCCCCAGGCACTGAAACTACAAAGATAAATGAGATCTGGTTGCTGACCTCAATCTCATGGTTTAATGAAAAGATAATATGCAAAAAATTAATGATAACTAGCATTATAATGCAGATAGGATAAGAACCCTTCTAGACCCCTTCCAGAGCTAAACATAAAGAACCATGGGACAGTTAATATGCTTTTAATTCTCTGAGGAGTTGGGGAAGACAGTATTATCAAGTAAGGCTACAAAAAAGGAAATGTTTGAGGTAAGATTTTGGGGAAAAAAAAAAGATACATTGAGCTGATTTCAGAGGGGTGTGGGAACAAAATCTCCAAAGAGGGCACATATATAAGGCTATGCTGTACTGCAGTAGCTAGTTGTGAGTGGATAGTGAGTAGTTAGCTGTGAGTAGCTAAGAGCAGCACAGGAGCAAGGAGGGGAATAATGTGAGAGAGAGGAGTAGGCATAAGCAAGGTATAGCGATTAAGAATTCAGGAWCAGGTGTGGTGGTGCCTGTGTAATCCTAGTGGCTCAGAAGGCTGAGACAGGAGGATTATGAGTTCAAAGCCAGCCTCAGCAACTTAGAGAGGCACTAAGCAACTCAGTGAGACTCTGTCTCTTCTCTAAATAGAATACAAAATAGGGCTAGGGATGTGGCTCAGTGGTTGAGTGGCTCTGAGTTCAATTCCCAGTACCAAAAAAAAAAAAAACCCAGGATCTACACTGGATAGTGTATGCCTGTAATCCCAGCAGCTTGAAAGTTTGAGGCAAGAGGATCATGAGTTCAAAGACTGCCCAGCAACGAAGCAAGGCCCCAAGTAACTAAGTGAAACCTATATATAAATAAAATATGAAAAAAAGGGCAAGGATGTGGCTTTGTGCTTAAGCACCCTAGGTTCAATCCCCAGTATAAAAAGAATTCAGGCACTAGAGCCAGACTAGTTGGGTTCCAGTACTAGCTATATGACTTTGGGCAAGTTACCTAGGTAATTGATCCTTTATTTATTGAATATTTGGTCTGTGCAGAGAYATATGGCTTAGAGACTGACAGAGGATTATTGTGATATTAACTAGGTGATGAGTCCAGTTGCAGCTGTGGCACCAGTTTTGGAGTAAATTAACCCATCTGGTGGTATCTGGTATACAGCTATAGATCCAGTCAATGCTTCTTCTTCCTTAGTTGCTAGTAAAGACTATCAGAATCAGTTTGCATTTAGCTGGCAAGAAGAGAGCTACACTTTCCTTCTCCTGCCTCAGAGGTATATCAGCTCTCAGCCCTAGGTCATAATTTAGTTTCCYGGGATCTTGATCACGTTTTCCTTCTGTAAAATCTCATACTGGCCTATTGCATTGGTAAAATTTTGCTGATTGGACTAGTGAATAAGAAGTAGCAACTATCCTAGGTTTATCAATGAGACATTTTCACATCAGAGAGTAGGAAATAAATATGCAGAAATTCAGGAGCTTTCTACCTCAGTGGAATTTCTAAGGGCCAGTGATATTGGGCATGTTGAGATATCCCTTCTAAGGAGATTGTTGCATTTGGTCCCTCCTAGTTGTGAGTGGGCTAATTTGGATTTGAAGGTACCCTGTTCTTCATTTGAGTGTGTTAGTATGGCCTATTTACTGAGTGACCCCCAAAGCTGGTAGTTTTGCATGGAACCCAGAACAAGAGAAGGCTCTGCAACAGTTGCAAGCTGCTTTGCCAGTTGCTCTGCCACTTGGACCCATATGATACAACAGATCTAGTGGCATAATACATATCAGTGACAGATGGAGACAGTATGTTTGGAGATTTTAGCAAGCCCCTATGGATGAATCATGGAACAGACCCTTAGAATTTTGGAATAAAGCCCTGTCACCACCTGCAGATAGCTACTCTACTTTTCAGAAAGAGTTCTAGTCTGACACTGGACTTAGTAGAGACTGAATGTTTAATCATAGGCTACCAAGTTACCATGCAAACTGAGCTGCTGTCATTAACTTGGTTGTCTGACCCACTAAGCCATAAAGTTGGCAGTGCACAGTGATACTTCATCATCAAACAGAAATGATATTATGTGACCAGGCCCAATCTTACATTAGTTACATATTTTTCTTCCCTACATGCAGTGCTTCTGACAAAACTACAGTTTATGAACTTGAAAGATGCCTTTTCCATGATCATGGTATTCCACACAGCATTGTTCTAATCAAGGAACTCACTTCATAGCAAACAAAATGCAGCTTTGTTTCCATGATCATTAAATTTGTTGGTCTTATCATGTTCCCTGCCATACTGAAGCATCTGGATTAACAATGGAATAGCCTTTTGAAGATTCAGTTACAGTAGCAGCTGGGTGGCACTTTTAAGTCTGGGGCAAGGTTCTTTAGAAGGTTGTTTGTGCTCTGAATCAGTGACTGATATATATTGTTTTTTTCTCCCATAGTCAAGATTCATGCATGGGTTCATGCATAAAGGTGTGGAAATGGAAGTTATGCTACTCAGTGTTACTCAGTGTTACCCATAGGGATCCTCTAGCAAAATTCTTGCTCTGTTTCATGTAACCTTATCCTCCACTGACCTAGAAGTCTTAGTTCTAAGGGGACAATTAGACATAATGACTTCCACAGAACTGGATGTGAATACTGCTATCTAGCCACTTTGGGCTCCTCATTCCTCTGCATCAGCAAGCAAACAAAGGAATTACTGCACTTGTAGGTGATTGATGTGGTGCTATTACTTCCTGAACCAGAGAATTCTGAGGCAATAATATATTTAAAGAAGGGGAAAAATGGTGAGCTCTGTTTTAGACATACTGAGTTTAAGGTGCTTACCACTATGCATAATACAGTTTAAGAACATGAGTTTTATTGTCATAGAAGCTGTGTTCAGATGTTTGCTTTGTCATTTCTCAGCTACAAGACTTTGGGGGTAGTTGCTTAACCTCTTTAAACCTAGCTTTTTTTTTTTTAAAGAGAGAGAGAATTTTTTTTAATATATATATATATATATATATATATATATTTAGTTTTCGGYGGACACAACATCATTGTTTGTATGTGGTGCTGAGGATCAAACCCGGGCCACACGCATGCCAGTCAAGCGTGTTACCGATTGAGCCACATCCCCAGCCCCAAAACCTAGCTTTTTATATGTAAAGTAGGATCTAATGATTTTCATCTCATTACATGCATTTACTATGAAAACTGAGGTAATATTTTATATGGAGTCATATGAACACAGTGTCTAACACACAATATATTCCATAGAATTAATAGATTTAAAGATTGAGATACTTGGRAGACAGATTCAGCTGTAAATATTGGGAGAGAGGTCTGGGCTCAGATATTTTCTATTTTTCTTTCTTCAGGTCTCTCTTTTCCCCCTTGCTGCTCATGATCTTAGTAGAAAGCAGAGTGAAGTTAGCACTTTTCTCAGCAATAATTCCTGATTATTTTCTTCTTTCTTAACTCTATACTCTGATGGCTTAAGGTAGATAGGCAAGCTGAATAAAAGACAGAAGGTTTCAGAAGTAATAGCTACCACTGGWTTTAGAAGTGCACTTTGATATATATCAATATTTAACTTTATTACCATTTTTCAGAAATGTTATTACACCACGACCAGTAGAATATCCAGCATTTTTATCCCCAGACCTGAATGTTACTGTTGGGACTCCAACTACTTYGAAGGAGACAAACCAGACACCTGTTGTGCGGCTTGAAAAACTTGAGCAACAACCCCGGGAAAGGTAAAAAACACAAAAGTTTTCATTTATTTATTATTTATGACATAGGTTAATTTCTTCCTTTGAGACATGGGCTTGGTATAGGTCCAGCCACATTGACTGTGTTATTTCATGGGTTCATGGATTATCCAATTCAGATGTTTTGTTTAAAAACAACAACAACAAAAAAGTCAGTTTATAGCAAGAAAAGAGTTGAAAATTCACTTATGAGGAAGAAAGCTTATTATTTCTTACTGTCTTCAATCAAAAATGTTTTCCGTAGCCTCTTGTTCTTTTGTGTATTTCTTATCCTTTTTTTTCTCTATGCTTCAGTCTAGATATTTTCTTCTGATTTACATTCTAGTTCAGTGGTTCTTCTTTGTTTCTAACCTGCTGTTAAACCAGTTGAATTCTTTATTTCAGTTACTTTCTTTTTCTGGAATGTCCATGTRTTTGTATACTTTCTATTTATCTTCCCAAACCCCTAGCCTTGTCTTCTAACACCTTAAACATATTATTTGTGTTGGTCAGCTCAGACCACTATTAAAAAAAATATCAGAGAGGAGGTGGCTAAAACTTTATACACTTATTTTTCATAGTCCTGGAAGTTAGGAAGTCCAGAATCAAGGTGCTGACTGATTTGATTCCTGCTGAGGGCCCTGTTCCTCATTTGCAAATCACCTTCTTGCTGTACCATCACAGAGTGGAAAGGGGGGGGGTATGTGATTTCTCTCATGTCTCTTCTTATATGGACACTAATTTCACTCAGAAAGAAATTACCTCCCAAATATCATTACATAGGGGATTAGGGCTTCAACATATTAATTTGGGTAGGGGGAGAGCACTCAAAGTACAGGAATTATTGCTGTTTTAATGTTAAGATCTAMTGACTCCATTATCTGAATCTCTTATAAATATGTTTCAAATGTTGGTTTTTATATTAGTTTTCAGTCTTTTTATTTTTTATTTTTGGCACCCAATGCTGCTTAATCACTGAGACACATCCCCAGCCTTTTTTTGTTATTTTTATTTTGACATAGGTTCTTGCCAAGTTGCTGAGGCTGGCCTTGTACTTACAATCCTCCTGCCTCAGCCTCTTGAGCCTCTGAGATTATAGGTATGTGCCATTGCTCCTGGAAGATTTTACATTCTTTTATACCTAGTTGTGCTACTGGATATAGGTACTGTATTTGAAAAGTTTTAGAACTAATTTGAGGCTCTTAACTACATATTATTACAGAGAAAGTATTTATTTGCATCTGATAGCCAGTTAGGCAAAGAGTACAGGAAATTCCCAGATCATTTAATGCAATTAAGATCAAGACTGAAATGATTTGTAGCTGGTCTTTAGTTCCTGTGATGATTAATCTTTTTCTGCTTTACTCTTACTCCTAGTGACAGAACTGGAATTAGGAGGAGGAAAGACAACCAACTCATGATATTTAAAGAAGCTAGATAAAATATATTTTTCAATTTTGTTAGAAAGCCTCAATGAGGGCCAGGTGTGGTGGTGCACACCTGCAATCCCAGAGACTTGGGAGGTTGAGGCAGGAAGATTACAGGTTCAAGGAGAGTCTCTGAAATAGTAAGACCCTAAGCAACTTAACAAGACCCTGTCTTAAAATAAAAAAATAAAACGTGTTAGAGATGTAGCTCAGTGACAAAGCACTCCCGAGTTAAATCCCAGTACCTTTCTCCCTTAAAATCAATGAGTTGTAGAGGTAGTGAAGGGTTGCAGATCCAAGATTCCATACAGAAAGCAAGCCCAGAGATGCTGAGCCCACAATTTGGTGCCATTTATTTTTCAAGGCATTTGTTGTGACCAAGAARGTAAAGAACTGGTTCCATGGTTTGGCTATTGTGAGTTGTGCTGCATGAATGGCATGCATGTATCACTGTAGTATGATGACTTTAATTCTTTATGATGAATACTGATAAGTGGGATAGTTGGGTCTTATGTGGTTCCATTCCTAGTTTTTAGAGGAACCTCCATACTGATTTCCATAGGGGTTGTATTTTTTTTTTAATTTACAATCTCACCAACAGTGTAAAAGTGTTCCCTTTTCTCTACATCCTCTCCAGCATTTAGTATTGTTTGTATTTTTGATGGCTTCCATTTTAACTGCTGTGAGATGAAATCTCAGAGTAGTTTTGATTTGTATTCCCCTAATTGCTAATAATGTTGAGAAACTCACACACATATCATTGTTGTTCATTTCTGTATCTTCTTTTAAGGAGTGTCTTTTAATTCATTTGCCCACTTATTAAGTGCATTATTATTTTTATTTGGTGTTGAGTTTTTTGACTTTATATAGACTAGATACTAATCCTCTATAAGAAGAACAGCTAGCAAAGATTTCTCCATTATGTAGGTTTTCTCTTCACATTCTTAATTGTTTCCTTTGCTGTGCAGAAACTTTTTAAATTTGATGCCATTCCATTTATTAATAACTCTTGGTATTATTTCAGGAGCATTAGTAGTCCTGTTGAAAAAGTTGTTGCCTGTGTCTATATGCTAAAGTATTGACTATATATATATATATGTGTATATATATATATATATATATATTTATTTTTTCCCTAGCAATTGCATAGTTTCTGGTCTGATTCCTAGGTCTTTAATATGTATTTAGTTGATGTTGGGGCAGGGTGAGAGAAAAGATGTAGTCTCATTGTTCTACATATGGATAACCACTTTTCCCAGCTCCATTTGTTTAAAAGGCTGTTTTCTGCAGTGTGTTTTTGGTGCCTTTATCAAGGATCAGATGACTGTATCTGTGTGGATTTGTCTAGTGTCTCCTATTCTGTACCTATTTTTGGTCTATGTGACTGTTTTTATGTCAGTGACATGCAGTTTTTGTTACTATAACTCTTTAGTATAATTTGAAGTCAGATATTGTGATGCCACCAGCATTACTTTTTTGGCTTAGAATTGCTTAAACTATTCTGGATCTTTTATTTTTCTAAATGAATATTAGAACTGTTTTCTAGTTCTGTGAAGAATGTTATTGATATTTTGATGGGGATTGCATTGAATCTCTATATTGCTTTGGTAGTATGGCTACATTAACATTTTAATTCTGCCTATTCATGAATATGGGAGGTCTTTTCATCTTTGTGTGTCTTCTACAATTTCTTTCTTCAATGTTCTATAGTTTTCTTTACAGAGTCTTTCATCTTCTTTGTTAGATTTATTCCTAGATAATTTTTTGAGGCTATTGTGAATAGGATTGTTTTCCTGATTACTTTCAGAGCAGATTCATTGTTGGTATAAAAGAGATTTTTGTATATTACTTTTGTAATCAGCTACTTTGTTGAATTTGTTTATTTGATCTAGCAGTCTTTTGTTGGAGTTTTAATTTTTTTATCTTCTCAATATAGGACCATATTTGTAAGCACTGATAATTTGACTTATTCCTTTCCTTTTTTTAAAAATTTTTCCTGTGTGTGTGTGTTTGATGCTAGGGATTGAACCCAGGCCCTTGTGCATGCAAGGCAAGCACTCTGCCAACTGAGCTATATCCCAGCCCTTTCCTATTTTTATTCCTTTTATTTTCTTCTCTTGCCTAATTGCTCTGACTAGAATTTCTAGTACTAAATAGGAATAGTGAGAGTTGACATCCTTGTCTTATTCTGGATTTTAAAGGAAATGCTTTTAGTTTTTCCTGATTTACTATGATGTTGGCTTGGTATATGTGTGTGTGTGTGTGTGTGTGTGTGTGTGTGTGTGTGTGTGTGTATATATATATATATATATATATATATATATATAATCTCCTTTATGATGTTGAGCTAAGTTCCCTAGTTTCTTCAGTGTTCTTATTATGAATGGGTGCTGAATTTTGTCGTGTTTTTTTCTGAATCTATTGAGATGACCAAGTGTTTTTTGTCCTTAATTCTGTTTGTGTGATGGACTGCACTTATTGATTTGCATGTTAAACCATTCTTTCATCTCTGGGATAAAACCAAATTGGTCATGATGGTACAGTCTTCTTAATATGCTGTTGAATATGATTTGCTAATATTTTATTAAGTATTTCTGCACCTAAGTTCATCAGGAATATTGGTCTCTAGTTTTCTTTCCTGATGTTTCCTTATCTGGTTTTGGTATGAGTGTGATACTAGCTACATAAAATGGACTTGTAAGTATTCCATCTCTATTTCATGGAGCATTGGCATTAATTCTTCAACACAGATCTGGTAGAATTCAGGGTTTTTCTTTGTTAGACYTTTTTTTTTTTTTTTTGCTTCTATCTCATTACTATTTGTTGGTCTGTTTACGTTTTTTTATGTCTTCTCAATTCAATTTTGCTGGTAATTTTTGTCTAGAGATGTTTCCATTTCTTGTAGGTTTTCCAGTTTATTAGAGTATTAAGTTTTCAGAATAGTTCTTAATGATCCACTGTATTTCTATTATATTTGTGGTGATTTCTCCTTTTTTCATCTCTAATTTTTAAATTTGGGTCTTGTCTCTTTTTCTTTTGGTTAGTTTGCCTATAGCTTAACAATGTTGTTTACTTTTTGAAAGAGTCAACTCTTTGTTTCATGGATTCTTTGTATTTTTTTTAATTCTCAATTTCATTAATTTTGGTTCTGATTTTAATTATATCCTTCATTTTGCTGGTTTTGGAATTGGTTTATTGTTCCTTTTCAGGGGTCTTTAGATGCATCATTAGATTGTTTATTTGTTCTGATTTTCCTTTGTAGATATTCATAGCTGTAACATTTCCTCTTTGAACTGCTTTCCTAGTATTCCAGAGGTTCTGACATCCCATAGGAATTTTTAAATTTCTCCCCCGATTTCTTATCACACATTGATCATTCAGAAGTAAATTTTTCAATCTCCATCTGTTTATACAGTTTCTACAGGGTTGTTTTTTTTTTTTGTGTGTGTGTGTGTGTTGATTTCATTCTGTTATGATCTGATAAGATGTAAGGAATTATATCATTTTTTTTTTAACTTTTAGAGAGTTACTTTGTGGCCTAAAATATGGTCTGATTTTGAGAAGGTTCCATGATTCTCT